TACTACATAGGCTGTTATTTTCATATCTGTAGAATCTTCAATCTTCACGCAGAATTCGACAACATCAACGGTTTGTATAATTTCTTCAGATGTTCCAAAGGTCTTGACTTTGATGGTTTGTCTTCCGATTACTGGCAGGTTAAGAGCTTTCGAACTTCTTTCGGTTTTATATGTACGTTGGCTACCATTATCAAATATCATCCTAGCAAACATAGCAATAGCAAAGAAGATAATTAAACTTGTCTATTGGTGTCAGGCTGTCATTATCATGAATAGAAGATTTGAAGGAGTCCCAAAAGGTTTGCCATTTGGAATATTCACCATCAAATTTTTTCAATTCCAATTTTGGTAGTTTGATGTAAGGTCTAGAGGTTCTTGTCTGGTGATTTATTGGAGAATTTATGGCAAGTTCTGTAGAATTTGGTGCCGGTTGCAAAGTTTCCGGTTCAGGCGTAGCAGGGGCTCGAGAAAGTGGAAGGCTATTAGTGTCAGGGGTCTCTTCATTTGACAAATTTTCATGAATTTATTTTCTTCATATTCGAAAAGTTTGATTCTATGCGACGTAGGGTCAGTTTTATTATCTCAGAGAGTTCATCGCAAAGTTCTATTTCTTCTTGGATGGAATTCAAAATCTCCTTATTCAATGTAGTCAAAATTTCTGATTTTTCGTGAAAGCTCTCTTTATGTCAAAATGTCATAGACTTCATCAAAATTTTCATCTGTCAAACTATTCAAATTGCCATTCGCTTTCCCTACCGATTTCTTGACAGCAGCTCTATGTCCATCTCGTATCTTCAATTTTCTATTAATTCCGGGAGGCATTGTGTTTTATTCAATCAATGTGGGCTCAAATTGTGTTTGTTTACATTCGGGGTCTAGTCGAAAAAATGGCGGCATAAACTTTCTTTGATCTTCAGTCAGGAAAAGATTCATTCAAATTCGGTGTTATTTCTTACTTGAAAATCCAGCTATCTGTTCAACCGATCCGTCTCGTCTTGACCATGTGGGGTCGGGGAAGAATCAAAGCAAGAAATAAGATAAAGACAACTGTATTTTCAGAGAATTCAGGATACATAAACAATCAGGCTTCTACATTTTTTTTTTATCACTATTATCAAGTCTCAATTTTAATGAACAGTTCTATTCGATCTGATCATTAAGTCATGCCGTTTTACCGAAACCAATTTTCAAAGAAACTGCTAACATGATTAATAATATTCTTGCCGATTTAGTCAAAACTAGTTATCTCAAACAGAAACAATATGACTATCTGTCTGCCAAACCTGATTGTCGCGAGAGACATTTGTACACTTTGCCTAAAATCCATAAGAATCCAACCAAGGAGTGGATTATCTCGAATAAAATCCCTAAAGGCCGCCCGATTATATCTGACTGTGGTAGTGAGTCATATGCAGTGTCAGAATACATTGATCATTTCTTACTACCTCTAGCATGCCAACATCGCGTCTACCTTAAAGACACAACCGATTTTGTCAATAAAATAAAAAATCTTCGAGTTCCCTCTAATGGTATTTTAATTTCTATCGACGTTTCTTCTATGTATACCAATATCGATAACACTACTGGTTTAACGGCAGTTCGTAAAGCTTTTAATAGAAACCCAGATCCAAACAGACCCGACGATGCAATTCTACAGCTTTCAGAGATTTGTCTTAGTCGAAACGATTTCACATTTAATGGTAAAACATATTTATAAACTTCAGGGACAGCAATGGGCAAACGATTCGCCCCTTCGTACGCAAACCTTTTCATGGCAGAGTGGGAACGTGAGGTGTTGCCCCTCTGTCCATTTGACCCACTTTTTTACGGACGCTTTTTGGATGACATTTTTATGGTTTGGACTTATTCTATCGAACAGTTTTGGGAATTCTTTGAAATTCTCAACAACCACCATCCTTCTATCAAACTAACTGCAAACGTGAGTGACAAAAGCATAGACTTTCTCGATACCACAGTCTTTAAGGGAGATTCCATAGCAGAAACAAATAAACTGGATATTAAAGTGTATTTCAAAGAAACTGATACTCATCAACTCTTGCACAAGAGCTCCTTTCACCCAAAACATACCTTTTCTGGTATAATTAAGTCACAAGTTTTACGATTTCATCGAATTTGTATAAGATCTTCTGATTTCAACCAAGCTTGTACGATTGTTTTCTCAAAACTGAAAGAGCGTGGGTACTCTAAACGATTTTTACGAAACATAAAAAATTCCACCTTAGCACAGATAGCAGCTAAAAACAGACTTTATGCCGAAGTACCTCCAGGTTTAAGAAGTGCTCCATGTTTGTCCAGTAGATGCAAAACATGTCCCTTTATATCAGAAACTCATTATTTTGTAAGCAACTCTACGAATAAAAGGTACCCGATCCAGGAACATCTAACATGTGAACATTCAAATGTAATATATTTAATTTCATGCAAGAAATGCCCCAAACAATATGTAGGAGAAACTAAGAATAATTTACGAACTCGCTTTAATGCTCATAGGTCAGACATCAAATTAAAGAAAGACAAGCCTGTTTCTAATCATTTCAACCTCGACGACCATTCAATAGACGATCTCACCCTAATCCCAATTGAGCGTACAGAAATTGGCTTGCCCGAAGATGAAACTACCAAATTCCGTCAATCTAGGGAGGCCCATTGGATTGAGACATTGAATACAGCAAGACCTATAGGACTAAATATTCATCATAATGTAGGCATAGCACCCTTTGTTGTCCCGTTTAATACAACCAGCAATCGAGCAAGCAAGATAGTTCATGCCCACTATAAGAGCCTTCAAGAAAAATTCCCCCATGTCTATAAGCAGAAAATGATAGTTGCATATTCAAAAAATAAGAACTTAAATGATAATATTGTTCATAGTAAACTAAAAACAATCAGTACATAACAGATACTATACTTCTCGTCCTTCGGGCGAGTTATTTTTTCTAATTTCAGATCAGAATAAGAACAGAAGAAAACCCAATATCAAGACCCTTAATCCTAATTTCTAAATAAAGTGTCTGCTCCACCCTAGGCCTGTACATTTGGGAGAATCAAACCCTCCCTTCCCCGAAAAGTAATAACAGCGTCTAATATTAGACTATGGATTTTTATACAGTCCAATATGCGTTAAAGGATCACAAACAGGTCATGAAATCCTTGTAGGGTAAAGTGGGACTATTTTGCCTCTTTGGGATCAAATGGAATCTTTACATGAGAATCAATCTAAGTAGTAAGTGAACGTGGATCATGTAAGCAAAAACCAAAGGTTGTTTATACAATCTTTTATTTACAAATAATAATTTGACTGTACAATAAATAAGTTGTATTAATTCCTTTACATTTTGTAAACATGAAATCATAGCTTACAATGACGGCCGTTGTGAGAGAGACTTATTAACCAGTGTTAACCGCCCCTCCACTTCTTTCATTCAGAGTTAATGAATCGCCACCTTTCTCGTATACAGGTGTTGATTTTGCGGGACCTTTGTTTGTGAAGAACATCAATCGAGATTCTACGAAAGTCTGGATAGCCCTGTTCACGTGTTGTTCTACGCGAGCTGTTCATCTCGATGTGATGCTGATACTTTCTTAATATATTTCAAACATTTGTGGCGCGATTCGGTTCTCCAGTACAAATCATATCGGACAATGCAAAGACATTTGTATCGGCCTCTGAATACCTTAGATTATTCTCAGATAACTCTCCTGTAATACATTATAGTGTGAATCATCGTATAGACTGGTCATTCAATTTGGAAAAGGCGCCCTGGTGGGGTGGCATCTTTGAAAGACTCATTAAATCAATGAAAAGGTGTCTAAAGAAAACCATCGGAAATGCCAAGTTATCCTATGATGAACTCCTAACCATAGTAGTTGAAATAGAGACAATTCCAAATTGTAGACCCCTTTCATATGTGTCATCCGAGGACTGCGAGGAACCATTAACTCCATCTCATTTGTTGTATGGACGTCGTTTGTTGGGCCTTCCAGATAGTGAACGTTCATATTTTAATGAAGATTATAACCCAGAGCGCCCTAGCAATTTGAGAAAGAGACATTTTCATATGAACATTTTTGGTCTCGGTGGAAGTTAGAATATCTCTTTGCGTAATAGTCACAGAACAAGCTGGAGTCAAACTTCAAACACCGTCTCAATTGGAGATATCGTCATTGTCAAGGATGAACACCAACCACGTAGTTTGTGGAAACTAGGCAAAGTCAAGAAACTCATTACTGGAGCCGATGGATTGTCGAGAGGTGCGGTTGTAAGAGTTAGCGGTCATGGAAAGTCATTTACTCTTCGTCGTCCTATCCAACTATTATATCTATTAGAACTCAATCATCAATCAAACACGGTAGAAGATCTTGAAAGGCCACGTCCAATAGAACCACAAGCGATTGTGCCAGATCCAATGGAACCTATGCCAGGTCAACGTCCACGTCGTTTGGCAGCAATCCAATCTGATGCTAAGCGAAAGGAATGGATAAACCGATTAACCAATTGTGATGGACGATTTGACAGTCATTGATTTATCGATCCTCTATCAGTTGAACATAGTAATCTAGTAATAAGTGTTTTATTGTGATATCCATTTTCATGTAGGACATTCGAATGGCTATCAGGGGAGTGTGAGAGAGACTTATTAACCAAGACTATAATTATTCCCCTTTTACGAACTCTTTAGTTATGAAGATACATCCTTTCTGTTGTTTATGTATGACGCTGTAAATTCCATTCGAAGAAATCCATAATAAATCCATAATATCCATTTATACAGTCTTCTTACAATTAACCATCGCATCAGGTGCTACTGGCATAAGTAGTAACCGCCATAGGAGGTCAAAATATCCTACATGGTCCGAGTGAGACGGGATTTATCGGAAAAGTTAATCATAAAGGTGTGTGAAAATTCTGACATTTTTGGCGGTAAAAAGCCCTCACTGCACTTCAGTGAACATTTGTAAGTTTTCTGAACATTTTAATCATGTCAAAAGAAGAAATAAGCCGTAAAAAACGAGTTAAAGGTGGACATAGAACTTCAGTGAAGCGCCTTATATCCATGGCGGACGAATATCCCAAAATACCAGTATCAACCCTTCAAGAAAAAGAAGTTATCCTCCGTGACATTAATAATGATCTGCTTGCCCTCGTCAACGAAGATGAAATAGAGGACGAAATTGGACAAGCAGATGAGTATTCAGAATTAATTCGCACATCCATTGCCAATATTAAAATGTCCATAGCTAAATTAACTATTTCAACCCAAAATACTCAACAAACACAACACAATCATCATGATACAAGCCAGGTTCACACCACATATGATAATCATTCCAATTCAAGGAGCAATTCACCTGCTGCTGAAACTAATAGGCCCAGATCCAGAACTACATCACACCTTAAACTACCTAAACTCACCATGAAGGAATTTGATGGTAAATTAGATCAATGGTCATCCTTCTGTGATTCATTTGAAGCCACAATCCATAAACATCCTCATTTACCAGACATTGATTAATTCAATTACCTAAACAGTTTATTGAAAGATGATGCTGCTCTAGCCATTAATGGTCTGTCCTTAACATCAGAAATTTATCATAAAGCTATTGAAATCCTCTGCAAAAGATTTGTACTTATTGTCGACAACCACATGTTTCAAATTCCTGTATGAATGTTACTAACATTGAAGCTAGAAAAGATGTCCTGAGAAAATTAAGAAAATGCTTTGTTTGTCTTACAAAGGACCATTTTGGTAGAAACTGTGAAGCCAAGACTTGCTATAGGTGTAGTGGTAGACATCACATATAACACACAGTCATGGAATGGTAATCAACAGTATCCTTATTCCAATCAACATATTCAACAAGCCCATAATCGATTAAACCAAGAATCTCAGAACAATAATCAATTAAGTGGAGACAACCAAAATTATCAATCGGCTCAAAATAAACTATCTCAAGATCCATCAAAAAATGGTGCAACTGTGCTGTATGTGGAATCAACAACACCTGTTTTACTTCAGACCGCTGAAAGTGTTGTATTTTCTCCAAATCAGAGTTATAAGAAGGTTAAAATTAGACTTATTTTGGATTGTGGGAGTCAAAGAACCTATCTTTCGACTAGATTTCGAGAATTCCTCCAACTACCCACAGTTGACCAGAAAGACATTATAATTAAAACATTTGGATCCACAGAAGAGTCAACCAAAACTGTAGATGTTGTTTATGTTAATATGCACTGCTCTTGTGGTGACATTCAATTAAGTGCCTTTGTCGTCCCCTTGATCTGTGACCCCTTGACATCTCAACCCATATCTCAAGCTAAGAGATATTTTCCACACCTCTCAGAATTTGAGTTTGCAGATAGTTCAAATATGGAATCTGGTGTAGAGATAGACATGCTCCAGATCAATATTGGAGTCCAATAACTGGGGGTATAATACGAGGGGAGAATGGACCTTCAGCAATATGTACCAAGTCAGGTTGGGTACTCTCAGGCCCTTTACATACGGCAGATATAGATCCACATCAAAATACAAACTTAATCACAACCCATGTGTTGAAGTGTGAAACCAAATTAAGTGAGGAGGTTAATCCTATAATCCAAAATTCTGAACTTGAAAATTGCCTCCATAAGTTTTGGGACTTAAAATCATTGGGTATTAAGCCACTGTCAATCTATGAAGATCTCAGTGATTCCATCTGTTTTAAAGAAGGAAGATATGAAGTCAAGTTGCCCTGGAAGATTCCTCACCCTTTTCTTCCTGACAACTACAGCACCGGCCTTAAACGTTTTAATAATCTAATGAAAAGGTTGCAGGGAGAACCCGAAGTATTACAACCAAGTCATAGAAAATCAGCTGGAAAGCAGTATCTTAGAATTAGTAGATGAAAATGAGAATTATCTACCTCATCGTGGTGTCATTCGGGCTGATAAGGACACAACAAAACTTCACATAGTTTATGACGCGTCAGCAAAAGATCAAGGTCCTTCACTTAATGACTGTTTACTCATTGGACCTCCATTAACCTATAATATTCTTGATATTCTTCTGCGATTCAGAGGGCAGTGGCTATTTACCACTGGTGTGGTAAGCGTGGTAAATAGCCATAAGTATCCTTACAGCTATTTACCTCATGGTGTCATTCGGGCTGATAAGGACACAACAAAACTTCGCATAGTTTATGACGCGTCAGCAAAAGATCAAGGTCCTTCACTTAATGACTGTTTACTCATTGGACCTCCATTAACCTATAATATTCTTGATATTCTTCTGCGATTCAGAGGGCAGTGGCTATTTACCACTGGTGTGGTAAGCGTGGTAAATAGCCATAAGTACCCTTACAGCTATTTACCACGGCGTGGTAAATAAATTTAGTCATGATTTGATATTCTTTTCGGAAAAAATTGCTTAAAACTACCTAAATATTTAAAAAAAAAAACGATTCTGCAATCAAATATTCATCATTTTAATCAAAAATTCCCTTTTTGAAAAATAAATGTCGTGTTTGTTGTACATTCATTTGTTCTTTCGGTAATAGATATTAATTACAAATTAGTCAAAATTTACTTTTAACCTTGTTAATGAAGTGGAAAGCAGGCTTATTACAAGTATATCTTTTCAAAATCATTTGAGAACTAAACTTCCCCAAACGATCGTAAGAGTATTTTGTGTGAGAATAAGTTTTGAAAATAAATTCCTACATTTTATGCAATGTGTCTCCTAATATTACTACATTTTTACAAGTAACTACAGTGGCGTATTTAGGGGGTACTCGAAAAAAATAGGGTAAAGTTTCCCCCACTCCCGTCAATGAAATCCTAGCTACGCCACTGAGTAAGTAGACCTAATGTATATTTCCACAAAAATTGTAATGTTGTATCCTATGGATATTAGGGTGATATGAGAATAAAAATCCCATAAAAGCGCAGACCTAGGTCATGAAGTTAAAATTTTATATTTAGCTCAATACTGTTAAACGCGTTCGCCCCGATACATTTTCGGTATTTTTCGTGTTTGCCCCTTGTTCGTTCGCCCTGGCTCCACAATATTTTGTGACACAATAATCCATGATCCACAAAATTTAGACAAAATGATTAAATATGTGTTTAATAGTCAAACTTGGTCACTTATAAATTTAAAAAGAACCCGTCCGCTATCATGTGACTAAAAAACTGACTTGTTTGTCTTTCATTCAAACCTCTTCCAATTTGTCGTCCAGAAACTTGCCTTCACCAACACAATGTTGTTTTTATTTTTCTTAGTATCCGAAGTATGAACTTCGAAACAAACAAATGAATTATGTGAAAATTGTAAAAACGTCAAGAAAGTGGAATGGTGCAGAAAAGTAGGACGTAAAACTCCAATCATTTCATTTCTCAAGAAAGTGGAAACATGGCTCACTTTTCAACTCGATTCATGCAGCATGAAACAATTTTTTTGCGACCAGGACAAATAATTTTTTAAATTGGACAGTTACGCCAATTTTTTGACCAATCATACTTAAGTCTCAGAAACGTTTTTGTTTTAGCTAAGCCAATGGGTAATAGTGTCCACAGGTCACAGTCAAAATTTGAGCCTTCAAACTCACTTGTGAATTATCCGTGTTTGAAACTAGTATACAGAAGATGTCTGCAGTAACGGTACAGATATTGGCAGTGTTTGATTGTAGTATGTAGTCAAGGTCAGTAGTGATACAGATATTGATAGTGTTTGACTATAGTATAGTTTAGTAATGGAACATATATTGATAGTGTTTGAATGTAGTATGTAGTCGAGGTCAGTAATGATACATATATTATTAGTGTTTGACTGTAGTATAGTTCAGTAATGGAACAGATATTCATAGTGTTTGACTGTAGTAAGTAGTAGAGGTCATTAATGATACGGATAGTGGTAGTGTCTGACTGTAGTATGTAGTCGAGGTCAGTAATGATATATATATTGATAGTGTTTGAATGTAGTATAGTTTAGTAATGATACAGATATTGATAGTGTATGACTGTAGTATGTAGTCAGTCAGGTCAGTAATGATACAGTAATGATATTGGTAGTGTCTGACTGTAGCATGTAGTCTGACCTCCACTACATACTGCAGTCAAACATTATCAATATCTGTACCGTTACTGACCTCTACTACAAACTACAGTCAATATCTGTATCATTACTGACCTTTACTACATACTACAGTCAAACACTATCAATATCTGTTCCATTACTGACCTCTACTACAAACTACAGTCAAACACTATCAATATCTTTATCATTACTGATCTCTACTACAAACTACAGTCAAACACAGTCAATACCTGAATTATTACTGACAGTGACTACATACTACAGTCAAACACAATCAATATCTGTTCCATTACTGACCTCTACTACAAAACTACAGTCAAACACAGTCAATATCTGTATCATTACCGACCTTGACAACATACTACAGTTAAACACAGCCAATACCCGTACCGTTACTGACCTCTACTACAAACTACAGTCAAACACTATCAATATCTGTACCGTTACTGACCTCTACTTCAAACTACAGTAAAAAAAACTATCGATATCTGTATCATTACTGACCTTGACTACATACTACAGTCAAACACTATCAACATCTGTACCATTACTGATCTCTACTACATACTACAGTCAAACACTATCAATATCTGTATCATTACTGACCTTGACTACATACTACAGTTAAACACAGTCAATACCTGAATTATTACTGACCTTGACTACATACTACAGTTAAACACTATCAATATCTGTACCATTACTGACCTCTACTACAAACTACAGTCAAACACTATCAATATCTGTATCATTACTGGCCTTGACTACATACTACAGTTAAACACAGTCAATACCTGAATTATTACTGACCGTAACTACATACTACAGTCAAACAGTATCAATATATGTATCATTACTGACCTCCACTACATACTACAGTGAAACACTATTAATATCTGTATTATTACTGACCTTAACTACATACTTCAATCAATCACTATCAATATCTGCATCATTTCCTACCTCTACTACATACTACAGTTAAACCCGACCTCATACTTCTGTTAAACAGTATTTTCATAGGGCTCGAGTATTTATAAGCTACAGACTGAACGCATTTCGAAAGGCAAGAGCAATGCCTCATAACAATCAACACATTTTAAATTTATAATTTTATAGATTTTTCATTCATAATAATCACTTCTATGACACAATACTAATCAAGAAAGCAATTAGATGCTCAGTAGGAAGACTTTGTTGTTTAGAACAGTTGTCTACAAATCCTACGCATATCATCAGCCGCATTGAGTCTATTTCTATCTTTAGTTTTGATGACTAAAGTGTCGAGGTTCCCTTAGGTTCGTCGTGTTGAGGGGCACCAGAAATCCTGAAACTCTATGATTCTTCTCCTACAATAGCCTGGGAACCAGGAATATACAGTATTATAACTTGGAAATTAAAAATTCAATAAAAGTCTGTCAAAAGCATAGCTTTAAAATGTATATATAGACGAATTGCAGACTAATAGACAGCTGGAAATGCACGCAATACCGAAGTATGATCATAAACACGCATTCCTTATGGTTCACATCACATAGCGATTGAAGAAATTTTCAGACTGAAATTTAGCGTCCAAAATGCCCGAAAACCATAGTCACCGATATTAAATATGGCGGATATTTTTCTTCGCTAGAGATATTAAAATGCTTATTTTAGTGTGTTAACAATGTGAAATGTTCACAATATTTATATTTTTTTAAACCTAACAAGTGTGATTTTTTAAAATGTAAAAAAAAAATGGGATGAAATCCACCATATAAAAAAAAACAGTGGTAAAATTTAATTACCACGTTTTGTCTCCATAAACTAACATGGTGACATTGTCCTTATTTAACAAGTTACCACGCCGTGGTAAATAGCTGTAGGGGTACTTCTGTCTTATTACCACGCTTACCACGCCAGTGTTAAATAGCCACTGCCGATTCAGAGTGAATAAAATTGCTTTTAACAGGTGACATTGAAAAGGCCTTCTTGATGGTATCAATAGCCCAAGAGGATAGAGATGTATGGTGGCCCATGAGCGCCATAGCTGTTTTATTATTTTATTTATGAAAATACCTTTCTTTTGAATTTGAATTCATTTTTATTTCACTTTCATTTTGTTTTTAAATTCATTTCGTTTTTTATTTTACTTTCATTTTGTTTTTAAATTCGTTTTACTTTCATTTTGTTTTTAAATTCGTTTTACTTTCATTTTGTTTTTTATTTTACTTTCATTTTGTTTTTAAATTCATTTTACTTTCATTTCGTTTTACTTTTTATTTTACTTTCGTTTTGTTTTTAAAATCATTTTACTTTTTATTTCACTTTCGTTTTGTTTTCAAAATAATTTTACTTTTACTTTCATTTCACTTTTTATTTTACTTTCACTTTCGTTTTGTTTTTAAAATCATTTTACTTTTACTTTCATTTTCGGTTTTTTAAAAAAAAATTCTTCATTTACTGCGCCATAGTGTCCAGATTATCCAGTCACACTTTTGTCTATCATCCAAGTGTTAGAGTAATACCCCTTGAATGTGGTCGTGCGAGAATTAAACTGTCCTTTTTATACGCCCACATGAATATGTGGTCGTATATTGTCGTAGCCCCTGTCCGTTGGTCCGTCCGTCCGTCGGTCCGTTCGTCAACATTTCTTGTAAGCACTATAGAGACTACAGTTTTTATCTGATTTTGATAAAACTTGGTGTGATGCTTTAGATCGATAAGATCTCGGTCAAGTTCGAATTTGACATATTTTCGATGAACGGTTTGTGAGATATTGCCCTTGACTTAGCACGCCTTGAAATTTGTTAATTTGAAATTGTTCGTGAGAAGGATTGAAGCTACAGTTTTCATCCGATTCTGATGAAACTTGGTGTGATCATTGGAATTCATAAGATCTCGGACAAGTTCTAACTTGACGCATTTTCGATGAATGGTTATTGAGTTATTGCCCTTGACTTTGTTAAAACGCGTCGAAATTTGTCAAAAATAGTTCGTGAGCAGGATTGAAGCTACAGTTTTCAACCGATTCTGATGAAACTTGGTGTGATCATTGGAATTGTTAAGATCTCGGACATTTCGATGAACGGTTTTTGAATTATTGCCCTTGACTTTGTTGAAACGCGTCGAAATTTGTTAAAAATAGTTCGTGAGCAGGTTTGAAGCTACAGTTTTCAACCGATTCTGATGAAACTTGGTGTGATCATTGGAATTGATAAGATCTCGGACAAGTTCTAACTTGACACATTTTCGATGAACGGTTTTTGAGTTATTGCCCTTGACTTTGTAAAAACACGTCAACATTTGTTAAAAATAGTTTGTGAGCAGGATTGAAGCTACAGTTTTCAACCGATTCTGAAGAAACTTGTGGTGATCATTGGAGTTGACAAGATCTCGGACAAGTTCTAACTTGATGCAATTTTGATGAACGGTTTTCGAGTTATTGCCCTTACCTTCGTAAAAACGCGTCAAAATTTGTTCGTGGGCACAATAGAAGCTACAGTCTTCAACCGATTCTGATGAAACTTGGTGTGATCATTGAAATTGATAAGATCTCGGACAGGTTCTAACTTGACGCATTTTCGATGAAATGTTTTTGAGTTAATGCCATTAACTTACGAAAAACGCGTTAAAAGTTGTTTTTTGCCCTTGATTAGAGCTGTGTGATTTAATTGTTTGTTGTATTTGGTTTTCGGGGAAGGGAGGGTTTGATTCTCCCAAATGTACAGGCCTAGGGTGGAGCAGACACTTTATTTAGAAATTAGGATTAAGGGTCTTGATATTGGGTTTTCTTCTGTTCTTATTCTGATCTGAAATTAGAAAAAATAACTCGCCCGATGGGCGAGAAGTATAGTATCTGTTATGTACTGATTGTTTTTAGTTTACTATGAACAATATTATCATTTAAGTTCTTATTTTTTGAATATGCAACTATCATTTTCTGCTTATAGACATGGGGGAATTTCTCTTGAAATTTTTTATAGTGGGCATGAACTATCTTGCTTGCTCGATTGCTGGTTGTATTAAACGGGACAACAAAGGGTGCTATGCCTACATTATGATGAATATTTAGTCCTATAGGTCTTGCTGTATTCAATGTCTCAATCCAATGGGCCTCCCTAGATTGACGGAATTTGGTAGTTTCATCTTCGGGCAAGTCAATTTCTGTACGCTCAATTGGGATTAGGGTGAGATCGTCTATTGAATGGTCGTCGAGGTTGAAATGATTAGAAACAGGCTTGTCTTTCTTTAATTTGATGTCTGACCTATGTGCATTAAAGCGAGTTCGTAAATTATTCTTAGTTTCTCCTACATATTGTTTGGGGCATTTCTTGCATGAAATTAAATATATTACATTCGAATGTTCACATGTTAGATGTTCCTGGATCGGGTACCTTTTATTCGTAGAGTTGCTTACAAAATAATGAGTTTCTGATATAAAGGGACATGTTTTGCATCTACTGGACAAACATGGAGCACTTCTTAAACCTGGAGGTACTTCGGCATAAAGTCTGTTTTTAGCTGCTATCTGTGCTAAGGTGGAATTTTTTATGTTTCGTAAAAATCGTTTAGAGTACCCACGCTCTTTCAGTTTTGAGAAAACAATCGTACAAGCTTGGTTGAAATCAGAAGATCTTGTACAAATTCGATGAAATCGTAAAACTTGTGACTTAGATTGATAGAAGGATGGTGGTTGTTGAGAATTTCAAAGAATTCCCAAAACTGTTCGATAGAATAAGTCCAAACCATAAAAATGTCATCCAAAAAGCGTCCGTAAAAAAGTGGGTCAAATGGACAGAGGGGCAACACCTCACGTTCCCACTCTGCCATGAAAAGGTTTGCGTACGAAGGGGCGAATCGTTTGCCCATTGCTGTCCCTGAAGTTTGTAAATATGTTTTACCATTAAATGTGAAATCGTTTCGACTAAGACAAATCTCTAAAAGCTGTAGAATTGCATCGTCGGGTCTGTTTGGATCTGGGTTTCTATTAAAAGCTTTACGAACTGCCGTTAAACCAGTAGTGTTATCGATATTGGTATACATAGAAGAAACGTCGATAGAAATTAAAATAGCATTAGAGGGAACTCGAAGATTTTTTATTTTATTGACAAAATCGGTTGTGTCTTTAAGGTAGGCGCGATGTTGGCATGCTAGAGGTAGTAAGAAATGATCAATGTATTCTGACACTGCATATGACTCACTACCACAGTCAGATATAATCGGGTGGCCTTTAGGGATTTTATTCGAGATAAACCACTCCTTGGTTGGATTCTTATAGATTTTAGGCAAAGTGTACAAATGTCTCTCGCGACAATCAGGTTTGGCAGACAGATAGTCATATTGTTTCTGTTTGAGATAACTAGTTTTGACTAAATCGGCAAGAATATTATTAATCATGTTAGCAGTTTCTTTGAAAATTGGTTTCGGTAAAATGGCATAATGTTTAGGATTATTCAGTTGATTCTCTGCTTCTGAAACGTAATCCTCCCTATTCAGAATGACACAACATGAACCTTTGTCACTCTTTTTAATAACAATGCTATCGTCTTTCTTAAGTAAGTTTAACGCTTCACGTTCCACTCGTGTGAGATTAGACTTTTCGTGTGTTATGGAAAGGTTCACTGTTTGACTATTCATACTAGCAAACGCTTTCAATATTTCAGAATGGATGGCGACCTGAGGCGGTGTCCACGTGGATTTAGGAATAAACATTGTTCTATCACCACGTGGGGGGTGGTTTCGAAAAAAATATGTGCAGCTAAGATTTCGTTGAAATCGTTCAATGGATGGTCGGAGATAATTCAAGTTAGCTATCTTTGGTGTGGGAATAAACTTAAGTCCACGGTCTAAGATTGAATGCTGAAGGGGTGTGAGAATTTTGCGGCTCAAGTTAACTACAGTTTGGCCTAGCGGTGGCCTCTCAGTATTTTTATCCCCAGTAATTAGTTTAAAGACTTACTCGATGCTTGAAGCTGGTGTATCCAAAACAAATAAATGCTGTTTGCTGTTTCTGGAGACCAATGAAGATTATCAACTGTTTCGAATTCTTCTTCGTAGGGTGGTAAGATTGTTGCGCTGTTGATACTGGACTCCATCATCATGTTGTTGAGGGTGCTGAAGTTCTGTTGTGCTTTCTTCGAGATTTTATTTGAAATGGGTATACATGTGAAGAGGATCTTGGAGTTTGGGAATGTTTTGTTGGCTGTGGCGATTAATTTCTGGGCTTGGTTAAAGGAGGTCTTTGGTATCTGAACACGGTTGTTGAGGCCTACATGAAGAATAATGGTAGTAGGTTTG